GGCTACATGATTAGGGTTGTTAAAAGGACTCTTTGTTCGTGAACAGCTTGTGTTCGGCTCATTAAGCAAACGAGTCGAACACGAACACATTTTTTGAGCTCGAAATATAAACGAGCCGAACACGAGCGAGCATGGCCCTATGGCATATGTTATAGCATGGCCCTATGGCATAAACGAGTCGAACACGAACACATGTTATAGCATGGCTCGCTCGTGTTCGGCTCGTTTACACCCCTACTTATTACTATAGGCCCTATGGTTGAATTTTTAACGAGAATGGAAAATTTAAGAGCATGGCTCGCTCGTGTTCAGCTTGTTTACACCCCTACTTATTACTGTAGGCCCTATGGTTGAATTTTTAACGAGAATGGAAAATTTAATATTTGCATGGAAAAAAAACCATAAAAAAGTATGTATATTTAATAGTTCAAAGCAGATATTAAAGATATATAAACTATAACAAACAGCCTACAAACAGGTTAAAGGCACAAAAAATAAAAGTAATTATTCTCCTTCATTTGGAAATTGTTAACAATAATACCATTGCATTGCTCCATAATGTCAATTTAATAAGGTTTATAACAGTGAGTAATCTACATAGCTTGCATAATTGACGAATATACCTGCAGACATGAAAGAATATTGAAACTGAATTCATTAACTAACTACTTCATAATTTAACCAGTTTTCTGCCTCGAACTCACAACTAATGGCATAAACTATGCCTTGCTATAACAAGGGCATTGAAAAGTAATAAAACCTTGGCAGTAAGGCACCAAGCTATTTCTACTCTGAGAGTTCAGTAAAACTACTGCTAATCACTCCGAACAAGTGAAAAAATCTCCAGGGTTTGCTCTTTCTGATAAATAAAAAATAGGTTTCCATGTACCATCATTAACATGGATAGATGGAAAATCAGTAAATAAGTCTAAGCATCAAAAATAAAATTCATAAAAACTGATACATATGATTAAAAAAACGTTTTAAAGTCGATTAGGGCCTCGCCAAAACGCCCTCCTGGCCAACCAACAGCAACAATAATGAACAAAATCTTGGGTCAAACAATTTCATGAACCGGAGTAGGCCACCAGCTAGAACGACACTTTTGATTTAATCACTTTCTCTAAGAAAAAAATTAGCAGCCATTGCTTTGATAAAACGATAGAAATCGTTAACCCAATGGCAGTACTAGGTTACCGTCATAGAAATACGCCACTCGATCCTTGGACGGCATACTGTGCTGGGTTTCAGCAATGGATCGCCATGGTTGTAGAATACCTTCGAGCTTCAATTGGAGACGAAGAGCCGAGAAAGGACCAGAAGCGTCTCCTGGCTAATTGGACTGTTACGCTTAGCGGGTTTATAATTTAGCATTTTAAAGAGCTAAGCATTTATTAGTGGCCTAATTTAATTTTAATTAATTCATTGCTAGGATAGAGATTAATTATTAAATATAATTAAATCCAATTTAGTTTTTATTCCTAATTATGCTAATTAATAATTATTTTTTCACAAAATTAATTGATTCTTAATAAAAAGTTTATTATTTATTAAGTAGTAAATTAATATATTTCAATTAGTAATTAATTATTTATTTATTATGCTAATTCATAATTACGTAAAATTTTATTAAGTAAAATAAAAGTCAATATATGATTTACATTTATCAATTACTTTCTTAATACGTACATATAAATTTATTTAATTACATTTAATATGATAATATACAGTTCTTTATTACTTATTAATTGCATTTATTTATCTCATACTAAATTTTGATTTTCATATTTAAAACACCCTGTTTATGAAAAAATTGCAATCCACCTTTTCGAGCATCCTTTCAAATTTAGAAAAATATGCCTACTTTGTAATAATCAAAGTTTAAGTGTGAGATAGATAAATGAATAAGAATTGGATGCTTGTATATAAATTTCTGAAAAAAATTACATGATTAAAATTAAATTCAAATCATAAACCTACCCTCTCCATCCCTTCTCCTGCTCAAAACCCTCACCTATGTCTCCCCCCCTCTCGGTTTCACCCAAAGCCATCATAATCGATAGAATCATAATTAAAGCTAATTGGGAAGGCAACGACAGAATCAAGACGTACAGAGATTACCATCTTTCTATTTCTCTCTATGCGCCTTCCAGAAATCATATAGGAAGGTGAGTTCACAGGAACATTTTTTTCCTCTTTAAGCTTTTTGGATTTACTAAATCAATCGAACAGAAGGACTTACTAAATCCAAGACTTACACCCAAAATGAGTAAAATCCAAATTTAGTAAAATCGGAGATTTGACTTATCCAGAGTGACTTTCTGACAAAATTTAGCTTAAATCTTATTCTAAATTTGTTACCAAACTGCTCATTAATACTACTTACATATTTAAATGTCCAATAATTGAATTTGTATTTTTATTTTTTACACCCTTTAAAAAAGTTTGACTATATGTGTTCTATGCCTAATAATAACCATGATTAGAGAAATATAATCATTATTTATTTTATTGGAGAAATATAGATGTGTACACTTTGAATAATAAGGATGGCATTGAAAATTAAGGTGAATAAAAATTGTATCCAACTAAGCGCAATATATTAGCTAATCCAACTCAAGATATTTGTCAATCAAGTTCAAAGTAAGCCCATCTACCAAGTTCGAAATGAACTCACTAGCCTAGTTCAAGAAAGACTTTGGCATTTGGCTTAGAAAAAATCATGATGATTCATAGTTAAACTCCCAAACCATCCCTAAGCGCAATGTTTTTTCCCTAAGCCTATGAAGTACTTGGCAACCTCCACCAAAAGAGCCGACAACTCCTTCTCTACTAGCTGACTGAGCACTAGCTCAACTTCTCATACTACACAGTCTTTTTGTATTTTACAATGGCATCATGATGCACTCTTTCATGTATATAATTTATTATATAGCCTTAGTCCAGTGCTTAAATCTTGATTCTCACTTATAAATAAGAAGTCATGAGTACAATGGCATCATGATGCACTCTTTCATGTATATAATTCATTATATAGCCTTAGTATAGTGCTTAAAAATTAGGGGTTATGGAATCATGTGCACTTTAGCCTATACTAAACAGTACCATTGTCACTATGAATAATCAAGAGAAGCGGCCAAAGAGTGGTATTTTTTATGTGATTGAGTGGTGTGCATGCAAATATGAATGTTTAGGTGTTAGGTATGTAAATACCTGAGAATTGTTTGTTATATATGTAAATGTCTGTTTCTCTTTTTATGTGTATGTTCTAAATTCTAACGTCTTATTCATGACTTCAAATTATACATATATTCAGCCATGTCCATTCTCCTCTTTTAAGTGCTTTGAGTCCATGAGGTTTAGCAAAGGTAGACATGATTCACTCAGTTCTGATAACCTTTTGGCCATTTCTGGTTGTTTTAGAAGCGGCAAGCTTGATTTCAGCAAGATTCAGAGAGTTCCTTAAAGTTGAAATCTATATTTAGTAATTTAACTGAGAGGTTTAGATTGCTCATGTAAAATATCACTCTTCATATAAAGTTTGATGGCTTATACACTTTATGTATAATTTTTAGCTTGCTTTAGTATATATCAGTTATGTTATATGCAGTTTCTGGATTAACAGAGAAATTTTATTTTTATTTTAGTTTTGGTGGTATAATGTATGGTTTCTATGTTACTACTCAAAGACATGATTATTATATAAATGAAATAATTCAGCAGTACAACTAATAGCACATCTGTTGCTTTTGTGATTATATGTTCCACTAAACTGAAAGTGAAGTCACAATAGTATAAAAGATGGGCACCAAACCATGCTCTATACTCACTGGAAGTGAAGTCAAATGCTAAAGCTAAGATGAC